TTTTTGATAATACGTAACTAAGATTAATTAAGTGAAAATTTAAAAATTAGTAACATTATCAAACCTTAAAGACATCTCCAAACGCTCCTTTACCAAGCCAATCCAAAATAACAAATTCCTTATCAAGCCGAGATCTGGACGAAGTAAAATTATACTCAAAAATATGGTTATCACTCCAAATACTTTCATCTATTTGATCCTAAAAAATGAATAAAATAATATTTCTATAAATGTTGTAATTAGCATAATTATTTAAGACTTATTAATGTAAGCTAACAGAAATAAAATAAAATAAATATATTGTTAAAAAGTTACATTACTTTTTGCTGAATACTTATTTTCTGTGGTGAATTGGTATTTAATGAGCATGAGAGTTCTCTAAAAAATATAAGTTTTAGATTTTAATCTAGATCAAATAAGCAATATATTTGTTACTTATAAAACATTTTAAACACCATAGATTAAATGAAACCAATATTATAATTTACTATTTAAAATTTAAATTGCTAAATATATTTATGTAAAATTTATGTTTTTTTATTTTTAATCAATTATAAATAATATACAACAAAAATTATCAGAATTTTTTTTACATGGCTTAAAATTTAATTGTTATTAATATTAATGTTTTAAAATCAATTGTATTCATTATTTACATACCTATATTAAGTAGCATTAATGCTTATTTTACTTACTTAAAATTTAATTCATCTTCTTCATCTTCATCGATTAGAGTTTCAATAGTATTATGTCTTGTCTTATTTTTATGCATTCGTAATTCTACTTTGAGAGCTTCTCTTTTTTTAGACATTTCATTGTGAATTAATTGTTTCTAAAAACAGTATTTATTAAATTTTGAATTAATAGTTGAAAGACTATTCATAGATATTTTATCCAAAAATCAAAAATTACAGTTAATTCAACTTCTTGTTTTTTAGTTTCTATTTCTTCAAATTCTTTTTGTTGTTTTCTTGATATCATTTCTTCATAGAATGAAGTATACTGGGGTTTATTGTAAAGAGAAAGAAAATTCTGAATAAACAAATATATATTTCAATTAACAAATTAAAAAGTTTAAATGATTTAATATAAATACTAATAAATTATGAATTATTTAATTTCAGTTACCTGAACTTGTTGGACGAGTTCAAAAACCATTACTTCGCCTACTATTTTAGAGGCTAATTCATTCAATTGTTTTTCTAGATAATTAAGATAGTTTACTGGTATACCTTTAGCATTTTCAAGTTTTATCAATGGTATTCTACAATAAAAATTGATTTATTAATTATAAAATATATTTTGTATTTAAAATCTTAGATATATTTGAAAATTGTACCTTTAGTACAATGACACCCTCAGAAAATAAATTCAATGGATAACATGCAAGAATAAAATTTAATTTAGTGCTAAATATACTCATTTTTCATTTATTTTTTTTTTTCAAAATTTGTTTTAAACTGCAGTCGCAGTGGGTATATTTCTACTCATTGATCCTTCTGCTTTGTTTGTTAATAAATGCATTGATAAAAATTTATAGTAAAAAAAATATGGATTTAAAATCGGCTTGCACCATTATAGTTTAATTATACCACTAATATTAGTCTGTCCTTATAAAATTACAACAATACAGTTCATAAACACAGACTTCAAAAAGTAAAAATATTTACATTTTAATTAAGTTGATCACACGAGACTCAAGTACTTGATATTGTAATTACAGATGCTCGTTGTATATATTGAATTGACAGTTATTATTTGTTTTTATTTAAAATCTTTTTAAGATTACTGAGCTGCATTGAGATAAACTTGTAAAGGCTAAAAGTTATCTACATCATAAATTAATTTATAAAACTATATACATAATTTAAAAAAAGTAGGAATAATATCATAACTTTTTATCATACTGATATACAATGAGAAACCACGAGTGATCTTTTATTTTGTATTTTATTATTAAAAACCTCTAATATAAACTCATAAAGCATAATAATTGACAAATATTTGCCAAGTATACAAATCTCAAGAGACTGGTTTAGCAGAAGTATTATAAGTGAATAGTTTTATTAAATTGTTTAAACTTATCTATAATTCCATATTTGACTTAACATTTAATATTGTGAAAAATATTTATATTTTATAAATGTATTCAATTGAGCGCACAATATTAATATGGAACAGGGAGTGGAAAAGTTTATTTTGTAAAAGATATCTTTACTTACTCATTAGGATAATTGTCTAATGCCTTGACATGCAGTTCAACTAGTATGTTGTTTTGTTGTAAGTTTGTAAATCCTTCGGGCAAAACAGTAATCGTAACATCTAATGGTTTCCAGACATCAGTAGCTATACACTCATTGTTATCCCTTAATTGATCATTGAAGATCGACTGGACGAGATGAAAATTGTTTTAAACAATAACCATAATTCATTAATGTGTATTGTTTTTAAATGCAAATCATGACAGCATTACAAATGTATAACTTACTTTTAACGCTTCTAATTCGTTAGTTTGTCGCTCTTGCAAAGTCTCTCCCATTGATTCGGTCAGTTCATCGAAGCTTTATAGTTTGAAAATGAATTTTTGAGAGGAATGAGATTTGAAAAAGTTCGTTCATTTAAACATTTTGAACGCTACATCGAAACGTATATATAGAGGCTAGAATCTACTTGCTACTGACTACAGTAAGTAAACATTTATCAATCACGTGCTATCCTGTTATCAGTCGTGTATTGTGCCGTACGCCGGTATCAGCACCACGTCAAGATAATAGTGTTTACATATTTTAATATTGTTATTTTATTTATATTTCGTATTCGTATTTCGTGCAATAATTATTGGGTAGGTAATAATGGTAATACTAAGCTACCGTGGCAGGTAATAGAGAGGCAGCCGCCTTTCAGTTTTTTTTGGTGGATATTACTGGGTAGATGATAATAAATAAATAATTTAAATTCATAATTACAAATTTCGGAAAATAACACACAAAAAGATATTTTTTTAGATGTTTTTTTGATTCTTTTAGCCTTAAGTTTAGATGACCAATTGTCAGGAAAACTTTATAAATAATAAAGAAAAAAAAAGATGTTTTTTAAAAGTTGGTTATCAAAAATTATACTTGCCTAAATATTTTTGTTCGCTACGCCACTGCTATACAACGTTTAAAACTTTTGGCGATCAGTGAAAAAATAGGATTAGGGTCTACGACTACGATCTTTAAGAACAGAGAATACATTTTTTTTTTTTAAACAGATTTTAAAAAAGTGATCAATTTTAAGTATCTGAGACTCTGAGAGTTAACATAACTAGTGAAATGTGAATAATAAGATCGATTTCTTCAGTGGATATAACCTAACCTAAGCGTAGAACATAGGTGCCTACCACGTCACTAGGTAAAACTTGAATTTAATTATAGGTAAGTATGTACATTACTGAGTCTACGTTTATGAAGTGTGATTTAAAACAATGACGGTTTGATAGCATATATTAAATTAATTTTATTATTTACCTATGCTATTGAAGTAATTTATGAAAATTGAAAATTGAATATTAGGTAATTACCTAGATTCTTTTTAAGTCGTTCTTGAACTAATTAAAAAATATCGAAAATACATATCACAATATGGTCAATGTGTTTTATAAGCATTTGTTGTTAGAACTTTTACAAATTTTCTCAATACCGTGAAAATTGTATTGTTGAAAAAAAAAATTAATTTTTAGATTTTAAAATTTAATACAAAATTCCTCATAAAATTTTACCTCTTATAATAAACAAAAGTTAACTGGAAAATAATATTAATTTTTTATAAAGTTTAAAATTCAAATTTTTACGTCATTCTTTAAACGATTTTTTTTTATTTTGTAGTTGTAATTTAAAAACAAACGTTAATAATTTAAATTTTCACCAGATATTTATTTTATAATTTTTGAGCTAGGTACTATTTATATTTTATAAATAATTTTTATTTTCTTTAAACATCTATTAAATATTTTTTTGCTTTGTCAAAAGCTTAAAAGTTTAATATAATGTTCTTTATAAATTGTAATTAAAATTATTTAAAAAAGATACATCATAAGCACAATTTTTTTTATCAATCATTTGTAAAAGTTCAAATTTTTATAAAAAAACTCTTCAATATCACGAAAATTTGTGAACTCTAATTATCAACATAAAATATTAAATTTTTATAGCTAAGACTTGAATATATAAAATATATGAATAATATAATATAGACTGTTTCTGCTCAGAGTCATTTAAAATAATATGCAATGATATATCATTGACTTCATAGTTAATACATCCATTACAGTAACCCATTCGATACTTATTGGTATATTATATACCAAAGTTCTACCCTTTTAAAAATCCATATTTTTTTTTAAAATAGTTTTTACTGGGTGCTTTGAAAAGTATTGGAAGTATTTTACTAATCTTATACTCAAAATACTGATTAAATTTAATTTGCTATCAGAAAACACTCTCAAAGTAGAAAATTGAAACAAATTATTAATTAATTTAAATTAACCATTTTTGTAATGATTACAATAAATACCTATTAATATTTTGATATTTATATGATTTAAAACATTGAAAATTGAAATTTAACGAGTTAAAACTTAAATTTTAATGTAGATACTATGTCTATCTATTTGATATTTTAGACAAGAATATTTCAACTATTAGTTATGTAAAAATATATTCTTACCTTCTAGTATAATCAAAAATTTAAAAGCTGCTGTTAAATCCAAATTACGTAGTAACCCCGCTGAATTTGATCTAGGAGGCATATATGTGTCAATATAAGCAACCTAACCTTAAGTACTTTCTAATTATTTTTTTTGCTTTTTATTATTATTTTATTATTTAAAAAAAATATAAATAAGGATAAATATAATTTATCCTTTAATACTCATATTTACTTATACGTATATAATCATTCCCATTATAAAGCCTTATGAAGTAAACATGGATTTTAATAAATAATACATATTATTTATATAATAATAGTTACAACTTTATTCAGCGTCTAAAAACATGTAACATATGTATAATAAATCTATTATTATTAATTTGCACAATAAGTTTTTAATTCAGATAAATAGCAGGGTCTGTGACAGCATTCATCGATGATACTTCTTTTAAAAGCGCGTTGGATGCGTGCTGGCATGAATGACATTGCTTCTTTCTTAGGCTGGTATGGGAAGTCAATTGCATTGTAGTCTTCTTGGTCTTTGTAATCCCATACATCTGATTCTATCAAAAAAATATTAAAATACTTATTATTTCAATAATGTTTAAATTTTGAAAGGAGTAAATAAATACAATTTTTCTTTGTTGCAGCTCTAAGACAAAATATGATCTTAATATGTTATACCGGTCTATGACAAATGGACGCGGCGCGAGTACATTAGGACGCGAGGACAAAATTAATAATTACAATTAACATTAACATTATAGTTTTATCACGATATTAGGGTTTATCCTACATTATCGAAATCGACGTTATTGTTTAGGCATGAAGTCGTTTAGACCAGTATTAATTAATTTGTTTTATTATTATAAATATTTAAATACAATTTATGCTTATTAGCTAGGTATGTTTTATAACAATTCTACTATAATATACACTTTAATGTTTATTTTTAGTTATTATATTTTCATAGCAATTTTTTTTATTATTATAAATATTTGAATAAAATATATGCTTATAAACTATGTTTTATGACAATTCTACTATAATATACGTATATTTATAATTTATTGTCATAGGTATAAGTAAAAATAAATAATTAAATAATTATAATTTTGTCCTCGCGTCCAAATATACTAGCACCCAAACGGTAACATCTAAACGACTTAGCGTCCAAATATTCGCGTCCAAACAACCACGTCCCTGTTCGATGTTATACATAGCTGATAGTCTCTCAGTAAATATTAAGTGAACAGTATAGAATTTTAAAAATTATTATTAGAAATAATTTTTGAAATCCTACACTGAGAAAATAATTCAAAAAGAAAACATTTTGTTATTATTATTAAATAACACGTTAAATTTGAATCAACAAGAATAATTTAGGTAAATATATTTCTCAAAGTTTTATTTTGAATTTAATTATTTATTATTCTTAGCTAAGTTTAAAGTATACACATGTATGTGTGTGGACTTACCAATTTGGTTTCTTTTTTGTCCATTTGGTCCATTGTACTTGTTTTTACACAGAATTTTCATGATGTCTGCTAATCTAGAGCCACAGTATTGTTGAGGCGAACGCTGCAGTCTAACATTAGCTATTACGATTTTGATGACTAATGCCAAGAGAAGTACACTTAAGTATAGACTTATCTTCATTGTAATCTAAAATAATCAAAAACAAACAAATAAATAATTAATCAATTACAATTTTTAGATATCAAACTAAAGTACTATCTTCATAATACTATGGCTAAACATTTTACAAGCTACATACCTTACTCGAATAAAAATTTAAATAAGTTTAGATATGGTTCGCCAAAAGGTATCTAGTGAACTGGTGATTGCCAGCCGTTGTTGGTCTTATATAAAGTGATTTCGTCCCCGTTTTAATATTACGTAGGTAGGAGTTCTAATTAATGATCCAATAACTGTAAATAATTAAAATATATCAAGTAACGTTAAGCTGATGAATGAACAAGGATCAAGATGATTAACATTTATAAAGGGAAAATTAATTTAATTTTTGATTGACATACATTAAATGTTGATGGTTGATATTGCATTTTCCTATTATCCAATTACTCACAATTTCTAAAGATAAGTAAAATAACATTAATGACAAGTCAAAATGCCAAAATGTCACATGTCTTGTGTCAAAACAATTGAGTTATAGCAAAACAAGTAAACAACCAATATTAGGTACTTAAAAACATTTTTTTAACCACATACAATATTTAATATTTTTAGTTTAAAATTTCTTTTTTAGTTATAGACATATAAATATTTGTACTTCTTAGTACAGAACATTATTCAAATGCATTTATTTGTATTTAGCAAATAATTTATTTTATATTGAAGTTGTTATCTAAAATGTGAAAAATAACTAAATAAATTTGTACCGTTAATATCTCCATGAAAAAATTTAAATTTCAAACTAGAATAATAGAATAATAAATTATTCTCAAACAAGGATTGTTATTTTATTATTTAAAAAATATTAATCGTAGAAGTTAGAATGTTGAAACATAGTATAATTATTTAAATTATATTTTCTACAGAAAATAAAATTTTCAATTATTTTTAAGCTATTTATAGGTATTTTAAATATTTATGTTTTTATTTTTATTTTTTTATGTAAATAAAATATGTTCAATGAAATTTTATGCTGAATTAAAGAACTCAAAAATGTAACCTGTAATTCCTCATATTTTGTATTTAAATAGTTTAAAAATATAAATATATAAAGACATATTTTTTTTATAAATGTTTGAAGTTAAAATATTGACAAAATTCGTTAAAATAATGAAAATTTGAAAATTATTTTGTAAGTAAAAATTATTATAAATTTCAATTTACACAATTAAGGGTTAAAAATGGAATACAAGGTTTCTCATAAGTCGTCTATATAATTTATAAATATCGGAAATACAGTAAAATATTTCATTATATCATTTAAAGCTTAAATTTGATTATTGTAAATTATTTTGTATTTATTTTAATGACTAATGCTTAAAATGTAATACAAGATACCTCGTAAGTTGTTCTTACTGGAATTAAAATAAAAGATAATTAATAACCCATACACAGTTAAAATGTCTATTACATTGCATAGATTGAAGAATTATCTTTGATTTATCTTCAAACGATTTGTACCATTTAGTGTTACAAATAACTATTAACAGCGGATACTTGAAATATTCCACTAATATCTAAGAAAATTATAATTTTATGTACCTACACAATACAATTTTCAAAATGTTTTGATTAATTTTTAGTATGAAAAAGTGAGTGTGTAAGTACTTTTTTATTGTACAATAAGTGTCAAGTGTTAAATTTGTATTCAACGATATTGTAAATAATTATAAATGAAAAAGTTTTGAGCGTAGGCGGTCTGTCAGTCTATATCACTAACTTACTATATTACGTATAGCTATATTTCATGATATTATGTTTTTTGATATCACTAGAACTTGGATATGCACCCCCATAAATTCATTAAAATATTCATTTTAAAACATCAAAATGTATAATTATATGCTTTTAAATGTAAATAAATATGATTAATAATTATTAATTTGTTTCCATAAATCTATGAAAAGGAGAAATATTTTTTCTTACGGATAAATATGTAATGGGTTGTAAGAATTCAAACTCAAATACTCATACAAAAATTAATTTGATTTCTCAGTAAAAACTTTTTATAGGTTACAAAACTTTAAATTTTCAAATTATAAATAATAAGAGTATTACAACTATAAATTTTGAACTGTAAATAACTTTGCTAATTTTCGCGATTTTGACGAAATTTGTTAAAATTTTACTACAAACGGTAAACATTTTTTTAAGGATTATTGAAATAATCGCTAAATTACTCATATTGAAATCAAACTAAATTAAATCAGAATTTTAATATAGACAACATTTGAAATTAGTGTTAATTATTTATTATAAACATCAATGGCTACATAAAAGATTACTCAGTATTTTATTTTATTATTATTTTTTATCTTATATTCATGGTAAATTCCATTTCATAAGATTTTAATAACTATTGTAATATTTTTGCAAGCTTATAAAATGAATATTATTTTATCACAACTAAGGCTAATAAAATAATTGTATTAATTCTTAAGTCTTAAATATAAATTATAGCGAAGAAATACAAAAAATCTAATTTGGCGAAAATCTTATTGGCCAAAACAAAAGCTTTAAGAAAAAAGGAATGATTCCTCTGTTGATATTATAATAACTAAGAATTACAAACAAATTTTAGTCATTTGTGTTTCTACGTGGTTAATAGAAACCAATTTCAGATAATAATTGAGGTCAGTCGATGAGAATGTTCAAAATATTATAAACTAACATAATATCTACTAATTTACGCGTAGTACTTAGTGAGTCAAATTCAAAATGTTTTAAACAATATTAACGCTATCTCTAGTGATATTTATATTCAGTGGCGTATTTGAAGAGGTGTTCTCTAACGGCTGTATGACATACTCGTAAGCTCCAATCTAATATTATGTACCTGTTATACCCAACGTATGACATAAACGTCAAAGGTATTGTTTGATGTTTCAATTTTATAAAAAAAATTGTCAATAATATACATACAAATAAATATAATTTTAATTAATTAGTTATTATTTAATCCAATTTTTTTTACATATTATATACGATTTATTTCACCATCCTGGTAATTTCTTCTATCGTACAATTATTTCTCTTGGCACAGTTCAATGACACATTAACTACTGACCATTTCTCGTAAAAATCTATATTTTTGATCTTCAAATAAAGTACATGCAATACCTTTAGTAATAGTTTTTATAAAATTAATTTTAAGGAATGCTTACGAAATAGGTACCAACAATTAGTTATACAACATAAAATTGCTCACACACTGATTGTGATAATATATCGTAATCATATAATAAATTTGTCGATTAAAATTAAACGTTTGAAGTTTTTGAACTATATACTTAGTTCTAAATTTAAATATTTATTAAGCTACCTAGGAAATTGGCGCATTTGTACGATACGATTTTGGCGCTTTCGTAAGATACGACTTTTTTTGTTCTTATCTCATTTTGGCGCATATGTCTTCCACTGCCTTTAACTTGGATACCCCCCCCCCCCACCAATTAAAAAAATATTTTTATGCATTAGTATTTTACTCAAAATATTTATATTTAAACTACTAAAGTAAAATTACTTTTATTAGATCTGACGATACATTTCGAGATTACAGTTTATCTGGAATATCTAAAAATTATTCAAATTTCACCGGGTTATTTAGGAATATTTAGATACTCCCTAAAAAAATATGCCTCTGCGTGTATATTTTAGATACATAAACAATTTTTTCAAGAACATATATTTAACTTAAATATAAAGTATTATACATATCTTATACCTATACTAAAAGTTATATTATTAAAACGATAATAAATTAATTGAAACATCATAGAATACTATGATATTGCGTTAAATTTCAAACAAAATAGTTAAAGTGAAGTTTTTGTTGATAGACATTGATTGTTTGCATAAATATTGTTAATATACGGCAATATTGTAAGCATGTAGGCTTGTTGCCAACAAATATTTTTAAAATTTTTATTACCTTTTAAAGCTTATATTTTTGTGAATCAAGACGAGTTTGTTAAGCTGAATAAAATAATTAAATTTAAAAATATTTAAAAAAAATATACACTAAGACTAAGTTATAAAATATTGAATTGGTTTTCGGAAATTGTATTCACTCCATAATGATAATTATTAATTGTTACTGTAATGTTTGCGTGTTATTTTTAATATTTTACTTCTGTCTTTATACATCATTGGTTGGAGGTCCTTAGCTCAATTTCTTAGTGATTAATATTTATTTATTTTTTAATGTGTATGAATAAATCTCCTAAAAAACGGTTTTTTAGTCGAGTTAATTTAGATAAAAAGCAATTGTGCAAACCTTTCACTAAATTATTAGTACGTAATTAGCCTACTATTACTAAATCACAACAATCTATACATTTATAGGAATATATTAGATCTCTTCTTTTTTATCTATAACTTTATTCCCTACTTGTTTTATTACTTATTCAATTATGTTATTGGTAGGTATTAGGAGTTATTCTTTAGTAGTCGATTAAATTACTTGACTAAAAGTATTAAATGTAAAAATATAAAGTATTTAAAATTTCTCAGCAGTTTTTTTATTTATATATCTTTTATAGATTTTTTGTGTCTTGTACAATATTTTTGCAGGTATCTGTCAATGTATAAGAAACAACATTGATAATAATGATGATTTTATTCATTATATGGAAATATGGAATAGAATATTAATAATAAATTTCCGGATCACTGAGTAGTAAATAATGTGCATATATTTATGATAATATATTCATTAAGATGTCCTATATCCAACCAATAATTAAAATAACTTCTCAGGGAAAACAGATGAGTAATTTTAATTTAAATCAAATGATATACGGTGTAATATTAATATAAAATGTAAAATATGGAAATGCTAAAAAGACAATTAGGCTCTGTCAGTTTATTAATTTAAACAAAATATGATTTAAATAATTTGAAAATATTTAAAAGTATCTAAAAATACTTTTTTACTGAACATTATATATGTGTATGTGTGTGTGTATGTGTGTGTGTGTCTGTGTTTTATATACAGTTGAACTTGGTTATCTCGAACTTCTTTAATTCGAAATTGTCGATACTTCGAACTTTTTCTTCGGTCTCTAGAATTTCCTATTTAAACAATATGAAAAAAATCTTGTTTAACTCAAATGTTTTCGTGAATAACACGAAGTTTTAAGTTTTATTAATATTATTAAATTGTGATATTTCCCTCATGTACCTATGTATATATTTTAATATTGAAAATTGCGATCAACAGCAAAACTTAAACAAC